AATAGGTTGTGTCCATTTATTCTCCTTTTAAGAAATCCAAAAGTATAGATTGGTCAAAACACTGTAATAACTTCAAAAACAAAAGATTTCAGTTATCCAACTAAAATTTATATTGAGTTTTAAAATGATTGAAACTGGAGGTGAAAGTACAAGGTAATGTAATTAGTTTAAGGTTTGTTAGGAATTTGTATCTTCTCTATTAACTTAAGTTTTAATTATCTTTGGATGTTTATCACAACATTATATACTGTTTTTTCTTTCTCATAAAAATACATATAAAAACAATCTATTGAGACAATTATTGTAGAATTGTTCTAATACTGAAACAAGGTTCATGCTGACTCTGAAGAACAAAAATCTTTAATTAAGATGATGCTGATGTCATTTATTTGTAAACTAAAAATTCTAATAAATATAAAATTAGTCTATCAACGAAAATAGCTATTTAGGGACGGCAAATTACTGAGTTGGTATGATGAGTCTTCAGAAAACTGGGTAATAATTAAACTATATTGAAAGTTTAATTGAAGTTGCTTAGATTTAAGAAAACTTCAGACATATAAATTGTGAAATTAGTTCTAAACTTGATCTACATAATGTCTGTGGGTAGCAAATGGAGAGAAAAAATATTTCTTTTAATACTAAGGAAATGTGGATACTCTATGATTCTTAGGCATCCCATTTGATCAACATTTTTGGTGGTGTTAAATTTATAGTGAGTGGCCACAGTTAAATGTAAATAAATGACAGAACTGTCCAACAAACAGAATTAACAAAGTTTGTAATAAGCAATAACAAAGCAAAGAACAGGACAAGAAATAGTATAAAACAAGCAAACAATATATGGAAGGCAAATTAACAGTAATATGGTTAAAAGTTTACAAACTAAGAATGGGGGGGTGACACAGAAGAGCTAATTCAGATAAAAGTATGTGGTGTTCTGACTATAAGACAGACTGAGTTATATAAAACCAAGAACTGACCTGTTTTTATTGGCTTTGAAGAAAATTCCAGCATGCATTTGTATGTGTCTGCCTATAATTTTGTTTTGCAGTCATTACTAGCCAGGGTTGGAACCAACAAAATGAATAACAGAAATTAGTTTTATTTTTCTAGTTGAAAATAAGATTTAACTTTTTTTTCTAAATTTTATAGAAGTGGGTGTTAGAAAGTTCTTGGCTTGACTCACTTCCTAAAATCTGACAAAACTACTAAGTATCAGAAAGTTTCACCATTCTCTGGTATATTTAATAATCAATATTTTGACAGTTTCCAACTTTGTGTAGGTATTTGCAAAGCTTAGTTTGGTTTGTCACTAGGCTTCCATCATGAAGCTCAAACACATTACACTAGTTAATAATCTGGGATACAAGATTGTGAACCATCATTTATTGCTTTCTCAAGTGTGTGTGTCATTTCCCCTCGCCCAATCTCATTATTGACACTATCACTCAACTGTGAATATTAACCTCTTCTTCCAATGTCTGTCTTTTTTTTTTTATCTCCACCTAACATTTGTCATTGTTTCAGTGGTCCTGAGGTTAGAATGTTTTTAACTT